TTTAATAATTGATACTCGAAATGTATTGGAATGTCTTTGCTTCACTCTTAGTAAAACTGTGACTAAATTTAGCCAAGTACAGTCTGGCAGTGCATACATACTGGAACCTTTAATTGCTAAAATGTGTTTTCTATGGAATCTGAGTCAGCCCTAAAAAAAAAAAATCAGAGAATGTGGTAGATAGATCCTTTGCTCTGCTTGTGTTTTGCAATTGGAAAAACAATGTCCAGTTAGTGGCAGAAGCATATTCAAGGCAAGGTTTCTTTAATGCTGGCTCATGACCTTTTCTTTTCATCATTCCTTTGGCTAGAGAAACAGAGTTTTACAGGGACAGAGACCTCAGTGATCAGAAGAATGGACTCTTAGGATTAGATCCATTTTGGCTTCAAGAGTACAGTTAGAGGAGATAGATTTGAGCTGCTCCTCCTATGCTGATTCATTTCAGATTCTGGAACTTACCATAGCACACCAATATATCAAATGCTATTGAGAGTTAATTCTGACAGCTAGGTATACTCTGCTACAAGTGTTTTCTGCTGTCTCTGAGGCCTTCTTCCCTTCCTCAGACGTCATTGTTTAGGGCTGGGAAGGTGGCTTAGTGGTAGAGTGCTTGCCTAGCATGAATGAAGCCCTGGGTTCAACTCCTCAGTACTACATACACAGAAAAGGCCAGAAGTGGCGCTGTGGCTCAAGTGGTAGAGTGCTAGCCTTGAGCAAAGGAAGCTCAGGGACAGTGCCCCGAGTTCGAGCCCCAGGACTGTCTGTCTTGGTTTGGGACCCTGCTCTCCCAAGTGCTAGATGTTTCCGTTGTTCAGACTAGCTCATATTTTAGTGTTATCAACCTTTAGTATATGTATATTCTCCAGTGATAATCACCTAAGTAGATTATACATGTCCATCATGTAACCTTCTGTAAATTTGGTCATTTAATTGTCAGCCCTTCTTGAGGCTTTTAACTGCACATGCTTTGAGAACAAAACTGCCACCAACTAGCTTTGGGAACAAAGGGATTTTGTAGCTAGTTCCTCTGTAATGCCTTGTGTTATTCCCATGCAAGTGTGAACTGAAATGGAATGTTTTCTCTGTGTTCTTTTTGTGAAACTGGATGGATCGAAAGGCTAGGAAACATATCTCTATGATGACCATTGTTTTGTTAATTGTACTGTGAGCAGAGCTTAGGAAGCCGCTGTTAATGAGGCGGCAGTAATTTACTTAGCCTCTGGTTGACTGTGAAGCTGGTGGTGTTTTGACCTCTAGATTTAGTGTTCTGAGCTGTCACAGGCTTTGGGTCTATTTGTATAAATGCATGCTTCACTTACCACTCCAGCCTCTCTCACCCTTCGCCTTTAATTTTCCCAGGCTATTTTTCCTCTCTAAAATATGAATGGAAATGCAATTGTTTTGCTTGTTACTCAGATACCTTCTCACTTAGGGGAAGGGCAGTAAGCCCCATGTCCTTGAGTCCTGAATGCCAGCCCTGGCATTTGTGAGCTCGTGATTCATTTCAGTGGCAGGATGGGGTAGAAAAGGCTCAAGATGAATTTTGTAGCATGGAATGGGATTACTGCTTCGGTTTTCTTTCCCTGTACCTTTCTAATAGTACCCGACTCTATTAAAAACATTTACTTTAAAAAGGAATTATCTCTTGTGCAAATGAAACTTCTCCGGAGTAGAAATTAGTTGTTTATTACCTAAGGATGAAAAACATTTTTGTTGGCATAAGTAAAATATCCAGAGACACACAAAACCACTGGAATTCGTTTTATCAGGTTTTCTTCTGTTCAAAAGGCAGGTGATCAACCAAGACTGCTTCCTTAATAAATAACTTCAGCTTATGTGATGGGGAGTTAGGTTTTTCATAGATATTTTAAAATGTGTTTATTAATCAATCACTTAATATTAATCCATCAGACGGATTATTCAAGCAGCTATTAATGTTGCTATGAAAATTTTATTGGCATGATTTATTTGGTTGAAAATTTTTTTATTAAACAAAAGTATTTTCAGTAACATAAAGAAGGGAATTTGGTGCTGGTGGTGGCTTCTACTGGTAATCCTAGCTTCTCAAGAGGCTCAGATCTGAGGATCTCAGTTAGAAGCCAGCCAGGGCAGGAAAGTCTGTGAAACTTACCTCGAGTTAACCACCAAATAGAGTAACCTGAAGTTGAAGCGTGACTCAAGTGGGAGAGCACTGGCCTTGAGTGAAAAGCCTCTAAGGGACAGTATTCAGGCACCAGACTCAAGCAGTACTGCCATCCGGGATTAAGGGGGGAAAGGTAATAAATTAATAAGTAAAGAAAAGGAAGTTACAGTCAGATTCTTTAGACTACAAGGAAATCTTTGTCCTCTATCACTTTGCTAAAATATATCCCCTAGATCTAGAAATCTCTGTCATGAAATTCAAAGCATCCCAGAAAAGCTATTGGAGAACACTGCTGTACTGTGGGGAAGCAGTGCACTTGGATGCAATGACATCTCTGTACCAGGTAGACAGGTAGTTTGGTTCAGTCAGTGATTAAGTCAGTGATGTCATATGAGTTTAAAACAATTGTACCATGCAGACACCAAGAAGAGAATGTCTACAACCAAAAATAGCATACTTTCTGTCAAAATGAAACAGGCTAGCTGTGGAAACAGGTAAACCATGAGAGAAAAAGTAGGATCAGGTGCAGTGTGAGCACAAGATCACGAGTGCGTCTCTAAACTGAAGGTCAGAGCACAGCAGCATGATCTCCAGGAGCCAGCTTCCCCCATTTCACTGCTTTTTTTTTTTTTTTTTTTAATCTGAGTTTGGTCCTTACAGTCTCTCACCTTTTCCTTCGTGTCTCCCACAAGTGAGGCCTCTGAGCTGGTGAAGGTGCATTTGTGCTTCTTCCTGTGGTCAGCGCAAAGGGGGACATCGGATGGTGTGGTGACCATAAGCTTAAGTAACTAACTCATTGCCCATTTTAGGTGTGTTAGGAAGAGTAACCTACAGTATGGAAAGATTCTTTTTAACTTTTAGGTAAACACATACCTTATCCCTCTCAGATTTTCGTTTTTTATTTTGTGCTATTATAAAAGTAGTATGATCACATTACTTTCGATAACAGACACGCTAGCGGGGGAGATGAGGGCAGATTCTAATGTTAACCTGTCCTCCTTGGCATTCGGTATACTTTCGGTATAGTTTTCAACCCCGTATATTTTGTTCTTTGTTCCTCGTGACATCCCCTCTCCCTCAGTAGAGGCCTCAGAACTGAATCTCAATAGCTGTGGGGCCTTGGATAAGTGTCTTAAGTTTGCTAAGCCCGATTTCCTCATCTGTAAAATGGAGGTATTGTGGACTTCATAGATGAAAAAATAAATGAGATAATGTATTTAAGGCAAGTGCTCTACCACTGAGCCACCTTCCCAGCCCGAGATAACGTATTTAAATTTTCTTTTATCGTTAACGTACCTGATTCACTATTTAGCTCATGGTGAAATGGGCCCAATCCATATTTACATTTTACATGTACACGCACATTGTGAACATATGTATATATATGTATATATATGCATATATGTAGACGGATATATATGTATAGATATGTAGTCTTTTTTTGTTGTTGCTTACTTTAATTTGAAAGTATGAATTTTTATCCCAAAAAAGTGCTAGGCCTAAGATGTCTGTGGAAGTCCAGACATCATAATTCACTGCCTGGAAGGAAGGAATTATGGTGTCAAGGTAGATAGATAACATTAATTCAAAGAAGCAGATGATGGCCAGTAATAATGTCGATACCTACAGATACCAACGGGATCCTATAATTAATGAATTTGTCCATTGGATTTCCTTATGGCTTATTTTAACCTTTGACATGTGTGCTATCAGAAAAGGAATGCTATTTTTTAAAAAATATGCTTAATCTCATCAAAGCTGCCTGTAATGTTATTTTGTGATTATAATAAACATTTTATGGGATAAAATTTGTATTTTAGTCCTTTCAGGAGAAAACCAAGAAAGAATTTTCAAGTGAGTTTTCTATTTTTCTTAGTCTAAGGTCCTCTAAAGTTTAAAGATCAATTTTTGGGGGGCTTGATTTAAAATAAATATGAAGAATAAGATATAAAGGCGCATTCTTGATTTAAAATAAATATGAAGAATAAGATATAAAGGCACATTTTAATCTATATTTGAGGCTTTCTTGTGTGTTTTGGAGGTCCTTGTTTTTGCATGAATATCTGAAAATCATTTTATATGCTGTGCTAGAAGAAAGAAGTCCTCAGTTTATTTTACTTTGAGTACTTTTGGGTTTGTGTTTAAAAATATATATATTACGTCTAGGTTTTTATAAAGTGGTGAAAAGTAGCATTCTGGGTAGTTAATAATATAGACACATTTCCAAAGATGGTTTCAGTCATTAAACACAAAAACATGAAATCAGCCTTTAAACTCTGTAACATGGTAACTTAACCTATTTGAGTTTGAGCTTATTGGTTTTAATTATAAATCATATTATGGCCACTTAATTTAAAGGCCAGTTTAAGTGCAAAAATCAAGTGGCCATTCATATAATGGAATTGATTGGCAGAGAAAGAAACTAGACTAGCCTCCAGTTAATTTTTATTATTTTGAAGAAAGTTGATGAACTGTGAAACTGTTAATACTGTCAAAATTCACATGCCTATGGACTTGTTAATATAAAATAAACTTGGTTTGCTAACATAATTCGCAAGAATACAACTTCGAATACTTTTTTGCACTAAATAAAATGTGAGGTAATGAAGCTGGAACCATTTAAAGCTGAAGTTCCCAAGAGTTCTTATTTTGGAGCACTGATAATTTTATTTTACACAGTTAAGAGTTTTCCTTTGAACATGTAATTTTCAAGTTTGCTATTTCCCCGTGGGCTTAGAATCAATAATAGTATTCAAAATGACAAGACGCGTAATTACTGTGAGGTTTAACTAAGGTTCTTTACGTATTAGAAACTACTTAGCAGGACCAACCCTGTTTCCCCCTTTGGTTTATTTAGAAGACTTGCACTATCTGCCAGATGCTGCTTCCTAACCAGTGCAGTTATGCTTCACACCAGAGAATCCATCAGCACAAATCTCCCTTCTCCTGCCCTGAGTGTGGGGCCATCTGCAGGTCGGTGCACTTCCAGACCCACGTCACCAAGAACTGTCTGCACTACACACGGAGAGTTGGTTTTCGGTTAGTATCGTTCACTTAACGTGCAAGTACAGCTCGGTCGCTAATAACCACACTGCCAGTTGAGAGATCTGTGCACATAGCATTCAGGGGCAGACGGTGAGGCCTTCATGAACAGATCCTCTGGGAACCCAGTTCCTTCATAGTACAGTTTACCTCTAGATCCTTTTCACGCAACATTGGCCTTGCTGGTCAACACATGGGGGGAGTGGGCCCATCCTTTTAGATGAGTGTGCGTGCATGGAGGTTTGGCTTTGAATGACCCACAGAACCTTTTCGGACCTTTTTCTGTTGTCACACTCTTTACCTTTTATCCCCTATAAGAATACCATGCATTCCTTCACCTCTTAATACTTCCCCTCTGCTGAGGAAAACAGAAATGGTAAGACTAGTTGTTTTATCCACATGAAGAGGATCACATGCACATCCTTTCCTAGCATCGCCCATTTTGGAAGAATTTCCACTCCAATTAACCTTCCCTGCCTCCTCCTATACATACCTGCTTCCGGGTTTCTCTCTTCTCTCCTCTGTGAGCTTTACCTCGGCTCTTTACTGCCCCCCCCCACCCCCCCTGAAGATTCACAGATGTGTATTTGCAACATCTGGCAGATTTAATGGTAGCTTAGCTAGTGTTGTACTGGAACTTTATTCACCATTTTATGACCTTCTGGGCTCAGTTTCTCTGCCATTTGTATTTTGCCCTGATGAAAATCCTTCAGAACAGGTCATCGGAAACACCGTGCCTTTGTTCACAGAGGTATTACCGAATCGTATGTGTATCTGAACCATTGTTAGGTTACCTGGTAACTTTCATATGAGGCTGTGAGTCCACAGTATTTCTTTTAGTTGTGATTTAGTTATGTTTGATGAAAATGAAACCCAGTCGGCATGAATTGATCATTTCATTGCAGTTTAAGTGATGAGATCTTTGAGTGCTGGTTGGTGGCTCTGCCCACTTTTCCTAGCACTAAAAAAATAAGAAACTGACTTCCCATTTTTATCTCCTGCCTCCAAACCTGCAGCGCACACATGTTTCATGGACTGGAATCTATGAAGCAAATGGAAGCTGGTAGGAAGCACTTGGTTTAGGAACCAAGAAACTGGAGCTTTTTTGGTGCTAATTTGCCTATAACTACTTGTGTGGGATTCTCATGGATTCTCCTCGTGCTGGTACATTGCCCGCCTCTAGCTCCAGAGGTGGGAGTGGAGGGGGAGATGTGATAGTTAAACAGGACAAAAGGTGCCTTAGGGTCCACAGAGTCTACACAGAGTAACTCTTTGGTTCTTACCATCACATGCATGGAAATTATTAGTAGATTCTACAGTAGTAATAGAAAGCAGCATTGCAACAGCGTACAAGTGCTGGCCTTTTCTTAAAGCTAAACTCCCCTCTAGCATTGAGTTTATTCTCCTAACAGAATGGAAACAAAGCTAGGTTGGAATGACTAAGGGAAGTTAGCCTTCCGCCGTTCGTGCGATTCCTGGTTTCTTTCCTTAAATGAAGGCAGACGTTCCAGATGTGCCCCGATAGCAGCCGCCTCCACTGGGGAAAGACCTCTGGGCTCTCCTTTTCTTCTGTCCCATTCTCAGAGCTCTGTATATTTGGGGCCTTAAACTGTGTGGCTTTTAAATTTTTACTGAAAGATCTGGGTTAAATATAGGGTTTTCTTCCCTTGAGGCTCTATGAGCTGTCAACATAGTGTATTTGTTACAAAGTTTAGTTCATGTTAGAAGAGAAATTTGAAAAAAAATGGCTTAAACTTATTTTTTTTTTCTTGCTGTTTTACATAATGGCCCAGTGTAGCTGGATTGGAGCTTGGCAGCCGCTAGTCCTTGCCCCTCCCTCTTTGGCTCCATAGTTACTTGTTTATTCTTTTCTTCTGACACTTCCCTTTGTCTCATCCTGATGCAAGTGCCTTGCTCTTTTTCTCTTCTCTTTGCTCAGGCTGCATCTCCCAGATCCTTAGAGGCTGGTCACCTCTGGCTCCTGGTTAACCTGGAGCAAGTCAAATATTGATAAAGATGCAGTATTTTTCTAAATTTTCCTGCATGGATACATTGGCTGTCCATCTAGAAAGAGGATTATTAGAGGATTGCATTTGATGAATTTTTTGTGTTGTTTTTGTGCTGGTGGGGGCTTGAACTCAGTGCCTAGGCACTATCCCTGAGCTAATTTTGCTCAAGGCTAGTGTTCTACCACTTGAGCCACCGCTCCACTTCCAGCCTTGTTTTTTTGGTTGGTCATGGGGCTTGAACTCTGGGCCTGGTTGCTGTCCCTGAGCTCTTCTGCTCAGGGCTAGCGCTCTACCACTTGAGCTATATTGCCACTTCTGCATTTGATGAATTAAAAAAAAATTTTTTTTAAAGTTGAGTGATAAACTAAGGCCTCTTAAATACGTGTTAATATACCTGAGTATTATTTGTAGTGTGATATTATTTGTAGTGTGAGCTCTGCCATAGTGAACCTGACATGTTTCTGTCCTGTGGGCAGATCCTTTATAACTTTGTCCTTTCTTAATAAGACCTAATTCTCTGTGTTCTCAGTTGTAGGAAGGCTTTCTCTTGGCCTCTGCTCTTTAGACTGATTCCTTGTAATCTCATCAATGATGTTACGTGGAATATAGACTAACTTTATTTTATTTTTGTGACAGTCCTTGAACTCAGAGCCTTGGTACTGTTCCTGAGCATTTTTTGCTTAAGGCTCGAGCTCTACCAATTTGAGACACAGCGCTACTTCCACTTTGTTGGTGGTTAATTGGAGATTAGAATCTTACAGACTTCATTGCCTGTTCTGGCTTTGAACTGTAATCCTCAGATCTCAGCCTCCTGTGTAGCTAGTATATTACAATTGTGAGCCGCTGGCACTGAGCTCCTTCATAATCTGTAGATTAAACCTTCCTCTTATTCCAACTGACTTGAGGTGATTAGTGGTTTGTTTTCCTTTTTATCCTTTGGTCTTTGGCCCTTTGTATACCACCTTACCATGATTGACGGAGAGATCATTGTGGCTGGTGGCGTGGTGGATCTTTGGATTTCACTAGTTACCTGTCTGTCTTCTTTGGCATAGTCCCTCCCTCTTCCTTTCCCTTGAGTCAGGCTTTTAGAGTGGGAAAGGATGAAAAAACGATCTGTGTCTTCTCATTTTACAAATGAGTAACTGGCTTGGAGAACAGCATTAATGTGATCAAGATAGCACTGTAACTTAACTCAAAACGACTTGAGTGTGCTCGAGTGGCTCCTGTATTTTCCAAAAGAGCAGTTGCATTAGATAGGGGAAATAAAACTTTCTACCTATTCTGGTCTTTAGTGGTTTTACTGTCTATGTTTTCTGGGCACTTGGACTTAAGACATCAAAAATGCTGATGCATACATTGTGATTTGTATAAAATGCTCATAACACCTACACATGGCCTACTGTATAGAATATGTACAATGTAGAACCCACTTGTTCCTGTGTGGTCTTGGAAGCAGTTCCAAGATTTAGAAGCATGATGCTTTGAAGCAGAGATACTTTGAGTCACTGCAAGATCCTTAGGCACTGTATCCTAGCAGGCAGGTCCTGTCTACAGCCTCGCTTCCCCTGGTGACTCACACACATGTCCAGGAACACGTGTGTTCCGTCATCCTGAATTATTATCGACAGTGGTTCCCAAGAGTCTAGTGGCCAAACTTAAATAGTTTTCAGGTGCGAACCAAGAAGACTCATTACATGGAGGGCTATGGGTCCTTGTGCAAAAAAAAGGTGAGATATGAGAGAGATGTCTCTTAGTTTAACTTGGTTTCTGTGGAATTAGATGACTAAGGAATGAGCTAAATTGTGCGTGGGGAGGGAATTAGGAGTTCAACAAGAAGAAGGTCAGTTAGGCATTTTTTAAAAAGAGAATTATTTTTCAGAAGCTTACAATTCATGTAGTTTTATTAAAAACAAATACAAGTATATTCACATTTATTTTCCAGGAGACAGAAATCCTGAGGTTGATTCCACCCTGTAGGTTACCATGCATTTATACCTTATGTCCATTACATGCTTAATCATACCAGAGTGCACTGCGAGACGGTGTACACCCAGAGACAGTGGCCCAGTCCTTCTCTCTTCCCCACTGTCAAGGGCTTGTAGGTTTAGATGTCAAAAGCATCTTCCATTGGGAGCCTTTAGGGCATTGGGATGAATGGCCCTGCTGTCTGTCAGAAGCCAGCATCTGGAAGTCCTCAGAGCCAGGAGTCTTGAGGTCATGCCGTGTTCCCTCATCTTCATCTGACCCCACCCCCACCCCCATAACTCATTCTCCTCAACAGACTGGAGTACACACATCATTTCTAGAAACAGATGTTCCCCCCAAATTGACCATTTGAGTTTTGCTTTCCTTCCTCATGATCCTCTCTCTTCAACATCTACTTTTCATCTGCTGTACATAGAAAACAACAACAAAACAACCTCCAAATTCAAAACATTTCCACAAAGCCATTTGAAACCTAAACTGGCTGTGAACAATGTCATTTTACCTGGCTTCATACACAGTGAAGTCACATGTTTAGTGGTCTGTGCTAACAACGGTGTTGTTTCTCTAACAGATGTGTACATTGCAATGTTGTGTACTCTGATGTGGCTGCACTGAAGTCTCACATTCAAGGCTCTCACTGTGAAGTCTTCTACAAGTGCCCTATCTGTCCAATGGCGTTTAAGTCTGCCCCAAGCACACATTCCCACGCCTACACACAGCATCCTGGCATCAAGATAGGAGAACCAAAGTAAGTCATCCCGACTGCCGAGTTTTACTCCCCTTCTGTATGAGTCATTTAGAGGAGATGGTCGTTCTATTGAGTAAAATTTCAGATATGAAGTTTATGCAGCTGTGTCAATTTTGATAACTTTAAATTACAGCTCCTATGTAGCTCACCAAAACCTTTCTATTTTTTTCCAGGTAAAAAGCCTTTGTCAAAAAATGTCACCTATCATTTATGCTCTTTTCATCAGTTTTGGTCCAGTAGATACTTATCTATTTCATTCTTCAGATGATTTTTTTTAACCAAAAAAGTTGAAAATAAAAAAAAATACATCCCCAAACACCCAAACCTCAAAACTGTCCTCTACGTTTTCCCATAATTTCTGTCTTACAGGATATACTTTTCCCTGTAGAATTTAGAAGAGAAAGTCAACTTAAAATGTTGGTTAACAAATTTAACTTTATAGTCAGTCTAAGTCTTTAGTTAGTAGGATTAGTAAAAGTTAACTTTACTTTTGCCTTAATCTTGCTCATCCTGTGAGCAATAATTGCTTTGCGAAGTCTTCAGCAGTGAAGTGGTTCCTTGACACTTGGGTGGGCTGCCTGTCCGACCTGGGGAAGGTTAGCAGGATAGTTAGGAGTACAGTGTGGGCAGGCCAGAATCCCAACACCTACCAGCTGTGTGACCCAGGGCTCTTGCCTATCTCCCCTGTAGCTTTCTGCCTGGTACAGTGAGGATCATGCTGCATCCCAGGGTTGTGAGAGGTTAAATGGGATGGCGGATTTAACGTGTAGTACTTGGGCCCTCTGTGGGAGTGCAGAAGGCTTTGTAAGCATTAGTTCCTTCCTGTGTTTCTCTACTCCTCTTTGTGTATGTAGCACTGGTTCAAATGCTCTGGGTTATGTTCATTTTATTCCTGGATTCATTGTGGAAGTGTAGTTTCATAATCACTGAAGGCTAGATTTGCTGCCTAGACAATCTGTAGACAGATGTTTGCCTATAAGTCCATTACCAAGGTCTTATTGTGAGAAGATCTGTAGGTATACAAACTTTTTTATTTTTTTAGTTTTTGTTGCCAACCCTAGAACTTAAACTCAAGGCTAGTATTCTACCACTTGAACCACAGCTGCACTTCCAGCTTTTTGGTGGTTAATTGGAGGTATAAGTCTCATGGACTTTCCTGCTTAGACTGGATTTAAACCACGATCCTTAAGTCTCAGACTCCTGATTAGCTAGGATTACAGGTGTGAGGCACTGGTGCCTGGCATAACTTAACCTTTTAATGTAGTATTTAGGGGAAATACTATTGAACAAATATATAAGTAACTTTACTCAAAACAGCTACGTTAAAATCTAACTTTATTCTAATAGGAGTTTCACCCCAATCCTTTGTGTACTAATCCTTAAAGTAAAACAGATGATAAATTATGCAACTTCATTTGTTTTATGTATCTTTTCGGCAATACTGGAATTTAAACTCAGCACCTAGCACTTGCTAGGCAGGTGCTCTACCACTTGAGCCACACCTCTAGCTCCCAGCCCCCATTTAGGTTGTAATGCCTGACTGAAGACAAGGATTAGTATCTTCAGTGTTTGTGATGCTATGACTTCTGGAAATGAATGCAACTTTTTCTTACTAGTGTCGTACTTCTTTATTTGTAAATGGAATTTTACTGTCTGGAATGAATATGAAGTCTGGAATAGTAGTTGTAACCTGAAAATATAGGGCAGTGATGCTTAAAATATGCTAAGGCGGTATTTGAGTATAGTAGTCTGCTGCCACTCCCATCCCTTATCTAGAATTTCACTTTCTGTAGCTTCAGTTACCTGTGGTCAACTATAGTTTGAAAATATTAAACGGAAGATTTCAAGCATGAACAACTTGTAGGACTGAGACTGTGCATGATTCTGAGTAGTGTGATAAAATTTCTCAATGTCCTGTGGCACAAATTCCCACTTTGTCCAGCATGTCCACATTGTGCATGCCACTTACTAACTAGCCTGGCATTGGATTGAGGAAGTGCAGCACTTGTGTTCACGTGATTTACGTAAATGGTCCCAAAGCACAAGCATAATTATTCTGAAATGCCACAAAGTGCTTCCTTTAAGTAAAATCATTGAAGTTTTTTGATCTTTTAAAAGGAATGGGTAAGTCAGGTGCTGGTGGCTCAGGCCGATTATCCTAGCTACTCAGGAGGCTAAGATCTGAGAACCCTGGTTTGAGGCCACACCGATCAAGAAAGTTCGTGAGACTCTTACCTCAATAAACCATCAAGAAGCTGAAAGTAGAGCTGTGGCTCAAGAAGTAGAGTCCTAGTCTTGAGTAAAAACACTCCAGTACAATGCCCAGGCCCCGAGTTCAAGCCCTAGGACCAGTACAAGTAAAAACAGGATAGATGCTAAGATGCATGCTAAAATAAATCTTGGGTGTGTGAAACTATGACAAAGGGAGAGGTTAGTGCTAGTCTTGCTATTGCACCTCTAAGAGGAATAGACACCGCCACGGTGCCGACATGCTGCTGAGATGGAAGAGGCCCTCAGTCACGGTGTGGGTACTGTCCACAGCTTTGGGCATTCCAGGGGCCTTGGAATGGAACCTTTCTCTCCTGTGAGTGAGAGGGGTCTGTCGTCACCTCTCTCAAGCCAGGCTACTGTAAGACTCACCCTCAAATCACTGGGCCTGCATTTGATCCAAAAAGTTCATTTTGGAATTAAGTCTGAAATGAGTATGCAGTCTCTATCTCAAAGAGACCTGGGACTTGGAAATCTCCTAGCAAGCTTTGGTTAACAGTGGTTATGCAAATGGTGACTAAAAATTAATGCAAATCGTGTAAATTATTAATCATCATGATAAATTAGTATTAAATATTTCCCACCCATTTTACCTTAGTGGATAATAAATGGCTGTCTGAAAATGTTCCATAATGTCTGTAGCCCTAGCCCCTGAATCCAGAAAACACCATACAGGATTTTGACCTACTTTACATTTGTAGATTTATTTTTTCCTCCTCCTGGTGGTTCTGGGGATTGAATTTAGCCTCTTGCTTGCTAGACAAATGTTCTACCACTGATCCTGAGTTCCCTGCCTCCCTCCCCTCCTTTGTCTTTTCAGAAAATTTACTTTGTGCCAGGCGCGATTGTAAGCATCTTGTTTCTCAGTGTATGAGCAGGTATATTTCCTTGCTATCTAAAAGGAACCTTTGTACCTCATTTGTTTTTTTGCTAGAGAGCTCAAGATCATGTCACTTGACTACTACTATGTTTTATGGGGATAAAGACTTGTGTCTTTTGAAAAAATATATAATTTTATTGTTGTTATTAAGTTGTTGTACAGAAGGGATACCATTTCATAAGTCAGATACTGAGTACATTTCTTTTTGTCACCCCTTCCTTCACGTTCCCCAAGTGTCTCCCTTCCATTCCTGCCCACAAGTTACACAGTCCATTTTCTACATAGTGATCCTGAGTGCCTGCATTTGTGTCTTCTATTGATTGAGCTTAACATCTCAAATGTATGTAAGTGTTAGAACCTCAAAGTTAAGAGACAGAGGTTTTAAGCAAGTTCCTAAGAAATGGTGCATGTAGAATTAGAATTGCGACTGGCAGTGGGTCATGCACATCTCAGAAAAGGCTGACGTTGAACCTTGGCCCTGGGGTTTATTGAACGCCGAACAAATAATCTGCTGTCTCTTGAGTCTCAGTGTACCGCCTGGGCATGATAGTAGTGTAAATTCACCTCGCCAAGGGTGTAGGAGGTCTTGTGAGGGTGTAAAGAATGGTATACATGGGAAAGGATTTAGTCAGTGGCTTACAACCCTTTTGCCATTTGTTCACATCCAATTTACTTGTAGTTTACTTGTGGCCTGCAGAGTTTGCGTTGCTGTAAGTTTGACTGGAATCAGTGTGTGTGGTTTTAGTTTTCTATTCTCTTATTTCCTTCCTGTTCTACCTCTCCTTTCTTTCTCTCTCTCTCCCTTTTTGTTATAATGTAGTTACCTGGCCCCCTCACAGGTCTTACAAATAGGGTTAGGTTTTAGGGTAGCTTTCCCTCCATACCCTATACCCACCTCACACCCTGGAGACCCAGTTACCCTGGGGTCCTCACGGTCCCCCATAACATGCTCTACCCTTTATAGGAAGGGATCTTCTCCTATGGTAGACCTTCCTGTCTCTCTGCTGGGTTGGCAGCTGTGTGCCTGGGCTTTCCCACTGTGGTTTTGGAGTTTGTTTCATCTTCATGATCTGTCCTTTAAAAAAAGTTAATACTTGTAAGCCTGTAGTACTTGTGTTCTTTGTTTTTAATGTATTAGCAGCAGCTTTTTTGTTATTGTTGTTTTTCATAGTTTTTGTCCAACAAACTACTGGATTAATGAGCCGAGACCTGTATATCCTGGTTACAGAATCTGGTTCTGTCCATCACTGATGAGTCCCATCCTCACCGTGCACACCTAGGATGCTTGGGTGTTTCCTCTCCTTCCAAAGCATGTTCACGTAGGTCATCACCACACAGGAAGCTGGTGTGGACTGTAATGCCAGCTGGCTCATAAATTGTTTTCCAGTATTCCCAGTGCTCTAACATCCTCATCTGGGTGGAACCTTTGGATTCAATTACCCTATGTTTCCTCTGGCTGCCAACTAGCTGTCCCTCTCCACCCCTCCCCACTCCGCTTCTTGGTTCTCCCAAAGAGGATGCGAGATTCATCCTGAAGATGGTCTTTCCATGCCATCACTGCTTTCTTGCTAGGAATATCTCAGGAGTGACATTCTCTTCTTAATGGGCTTCACTGGGGGCTTGGGCAGTACCTAGTTATAATGCCAGCCTTCATCATTGACCCAGATTGGCATCTACCAGGTCTCTCCACTTACCTGATTTTCCCTTAATATTCAGTAGTGATGTCATTTGTTTTGAAGCTGGTCTCAAACTCATAAGTTTCCTGCCTCTGCCTTCTGAGTGCTGGTGTTACAGCGATGAGCCACTGTGACTGGCTATAGTGTTTGGTAAGGAACTTTTCTGATAGCATGCTAACAAGCCATTCCTCAGATGCCAAGTAAACAGCTTGTCTCTGTTTAATACTTTCTCTGTTGATAGGTATAAGACTTCACATCAAAACAACCCAGGGTTGTACCTAGCTACTCAGGAGGCTGAGATCTGAGGTCTGAGGATTGTGATTCAAAACCAGCCTGAACAGGAAAGTCTGTGAGATTCTCTTCTCCAATTAACCACCAGAAAACTGAAAGTGGTGCTGTGGGTCAAAGTAGTAGAATGCTAGCCTTGAGCAAAAGAGCTCAGAGACAGTGCCCAGTCCCTGAGTTCAAACCCCATGACTGACCAAAAAAACAACAAAAACCAAAACCAAACAAACCAAAAATCCCCAACCCTCTCCAAAGGAATGTAACATGAATAAAATGAGAGCCATGTCATATTTTATAAAATAGTTATTTCTTAGCCCAGTGTTAGTGGCTCACACCTTGTAATCCTAGCTATTCAGGAGGCTGAGATCTGAGGATTGAGGTTCTAAGCCAGCCCAGGCAGGAATGTCCGTTAGACTCTTGCCTACAGTTAACTACCAAAAAGCTTGGAAGTGGAGGTATGGTTCAAGTGGTAGAGCATCAGCATTAGGTAAAAAAGTTAAAGGCAACCTGGCACTGGTAGTTCACACCTGTAATCCTAGTAATTCAGGAGGCTGAGATTTGAGGATCATGGTTTGAAGCCAGCCTGAGGAAGAAAAGTCCCTGTGAGACTCTTACCTCCAATAAACTACTCAGAAAAAGCTAGAAGTAGCACTCTGTATCAAGTAGTAGAGCACTAGCCTTGACCATGAAGAGGTGTGTGCGTGCACATACACACACACCCCCAAAAGGTATTTATAAAAATGTAAGAAGAGAATCCTGAGCAAACTCTTAGTCCAGCTAATCTCAGTGGTTTTCTTGAAGCTATTGGCTTTTGTAATAGTTGTCCTCTAATTATAGAACACCCAGGAAATGCGGATAGGCAAAACTAGAAAGAATGCAGATGGTATAATCCAGTGGAGATGATGATGTTTTTATGCTTTCTTATTCTTTTCTACAAGTACTTTAAGAAATTTGATCAGCCGGGCACTGGTGGCTCACACCTGTAATCCTAGCTACTCAGTAGGAGGCTAAGATCTGAGGATCATGGTTCAAAGTCAACTCAGGCAGGAAAGTCTGAGACTTATCTCCAATAAACCACCAGAAAATCGGAAGTGGCACTGTGGCTCTATCAGTAGAGAGCTAACCTTGAGCTGAAGAGCTGAGGTTCAGTGCCCAGGCCCAGAGTTCAAGCCCCACGAACAAAAAAAAAAAGAAAAGAAAAAAAAAATGTGATCATATCATTAAGCTATCTTATATCTGTTGTTTTAGTTTTCACAGAAATCTTTCCTGTCATAGGCCTATGTCTATAATGTCATCTTAACAAATCTTTATTTGCACTGTTTAAATACATACTTTATTGGGTACTGGAACCATTTATATCCCTACATACCTACACATTTTCAAACACTGAGGAAAGGAACAATCTTGGACAGCTGCTCTCATTGATAATGGCATCCCACAGGTCCCAGCACAGGGCTGGATAGTCAAGCCTTTGAGACTGAGTCTGGTTGTAACTCCATCCATCCTATCAAGACGTTGGGAAAACATGTGCCCCTCCAATTACATTTAGAAATCTTCAGTGTAAAGGGAAGGTAAATGGGCCAGGCTCATGCCTGTAATCTTCCCTCCTTGGGGGTCCGAGATCTGAGGATTCTGGTTTGAAGCCAGCCCAGGCAGACAAATCTGAAAAAGCTGGAAGTGGAAATGTAACTGAAGTGGTAGAGCACCAGCTGTTACCCAGAAAGCCAAATGAGAATTCGAGAGGCCCAGAGTTTTAAGTGCTGGTGCCAGCACAAAAATAAATACAATAAATAATTTTAAAAAGTGAAGTGAGTAAGCTGTTGTTAACAGAGCATTGTACGGTGATGTTTGAAGCTATGGGAGAAACACAGTATTAAGAAGAGCTGAGAAGGAGGTCTCTGACTACTGTAGAAACACCAAGACAAACAAACCTCAGCTTTTCTTCTTTTCTCTGTGACCTTCACCTTCAGCCAGTTTTCCTCTGACCTTTTTCTAAGCTGCTTCTTAGATTCTCTATGCCACATTAAACACCCCCCTGCCCCCCCCCCCCCCCCCCCCCCGGTTCTTTAAAGGATAGACATATTCCCACAGGACTTTTTACTAAGGATCAGGCTGACCCTGAGCATCATGTGGTGCAGGTGTTCACACGTGACCTGTTGGAAGTGAAGGGGGCCAGCTTGAATCCATACATGCCTCTTGCCCCAGACTTCAGTGGAGACTACAGATTGGTAAAGAGAAGTCTTTCCAGGAGACGCAGATTGTTGAGTTAGGGTAAAGAGGTTGTTATATAAGAATCCTAACACAACTATGGAAATATCTGGCAGCAGACAAATATCTGGCAGTAGACAAATATACAGTGCCACTTAGTTTTTGGTTTTTGAGCTAGAGTGTTGGGCCTTGGATGCTCTCCATCCTCCTGCCTTCCCCTCCTGAGTACTGGGATGACAGGTGCTACAAGGGTGTCCACACTTGAGGTCATTGTTGCCAGTGTTAAAAGAAAACTTGTAACAAGTAGTAACTTGTTCCAGCATTGGAGTTTAGTGGGCCTACTTAACTCATTAACCAAATGCTTTTTTCAAGTTAGGGTACCACCACTGAGCTGTTAAGGTCCCGTCTTCCCCTTGCCCACTCCCCACCACGCCTTCCCCCTCCCCCCCCCAAAGATGCTTTTGCTCCAGAGAAACATCCAAATGATCCAGGTATCGATTTATAAGGTGTCAAATGGTCTTTAGTTTAGACTTCTCAATAAATGTAGCCTAATGCTTCTTCCTGTGGAATGGTAAGATTTATTTGTAATTGAGTGCTGCCAGCTGTCTTGAAAAGTTTGTTCCAAAGCTAAAATGTTGTTCTTTTAATTGTCTGTGTGTTCTCAACGTGCTTCTGCCTCCTGAGTCCCTTAGATGTCAAGTAGCAGCTCCTTTGACTTGAGATGAGGCTGACTGACGTGATCTCGCTGCACTTCTTCTATTTTAGAGTAATCTATAAGTGTGCCATGTGCGACACTGTGTTCACCCTGCAAACCTTGCTGTATCGCCACTTTGACCAGCACATTGAAAACCAGAAGGTGTCTGTTTTCAAGTGTCCAGACTGTTCTCTTTTATATGCACAGAAGCAACTTATGATGGACCATATCAAGGTGTGTGTGCATCTCCTCTCCTCTCCTCTTAGTGAGTTGCAGATACTTAAGCCAAGGCTGAGCCGCAGCCATCTGCAGGGCGTGTTGCACTTTCCAAAGAAGGGATGGAAGCTGTTGTTGTCAATGAGCAACATAGGAGCCTGTCTTCCTGTGTTCATGTGATGTGGGCGCTGTTTACACAGGGTCTGGATCTGCCTTCTGCAAAGATGAATGCAAGGGAACAAATGCATGCTCTGATTTTTCAAAGAATAATCAAGCATTTGGGCACATGTATGTATATAATACATACATATATATATATTATATACATATATATGTATATATTATAGTATTTTGAGTACTCTACTACATATGATATTTAGAAATCGGTAAGAATTATGCTAATTCATACAAATACTACTCTATTTCTTTTTTTAAAAAAATGAAGATTTTGCTCCTTGGTATTATATCAGCAGTTCAATTTGATGCCCTTGAGTTTTTAGTTTAGGGTTTTTGTTTGTTTTTTACTTAGCCTATGAAGGTTGCATGTAAAAATGAGGATTAAATATTCAGGCTAGGGTGGGTGCCTGTGCCTGGTGTGCTGTTGGGTTAATGAGGAGCACCATGTCTTACTTGGACCATCTCTGTCTGCTCTCGAGGGACTCTCAGCTGTATTTTCAGCCTTTTGAGCTTTCTGAGGCCAGTGTTCCCTCCTGGCCTTTTGCCTGTTTGCTGGGACACTGACAGGTTACCAGTTTTGTTCCTTGAGTACTTAGGAGGGAAGGTTCTCTGGCTTTCAGCAGTTACAGGGACTTCTAGAAAAACAGGAGATCCAATGCCATCATCAACTCAATCTTTTTCTTAACTTTTTTTCTTCTAAAAGTGTATATTATAGATCGATCAATCAACCGATTGATAGATAGCTCATTCAGTTAAAAGTCAAATAAAGTAATCGGACACTTTGGCTCCTGCCTTCAATCTTAGCTACTTAGGAGGGAGATTGAGACCCAGAGGAATGTGGTTTAAAGCGAGCGTGGGCAAAAAAGTCCAAACTCCTCCTTTCCAGATCCCTACCAGAGAGCTACCAGGTGTTAGTGGTTCACACCTGCAATCCTAGTTACACAAGAGGCTGAGATCTGAGGGTCGTGTTTTGAAGTCAGCCCTGGGCAGAAAAGCCTAGGAGACTTTATCTCCAATTAGTCACTAAAAAGAGTTGAAAAGTAGAACTGTGATCCAAGTGATAGAGTGCTTGCCTGGGACAGGGCCCAGGTCCCGAGTTCAAACTGTAGAACTGGTGCACGTGCACACACACACACATGCACACACACGGGACCCGAGTTCAAACTGTAGAACTGGTGCACGTGCACACACACACACACACACACACATACACACGTGCACACACACACACACACGTCCCGAGTTCAAACTGTAGAACTGGTGCACATGCACACACACACACACGTGTGTGCATGCATACACACACGTGCACACACACACACGTCCTGAGTTCAAACTGTAGAACTGGTACACGTGCACACACACGCACACACACACACACACACACACACACAAACATGGGTCCTGAGTTCAAACTGTAGAACTGGTGCACGTGCACACACACACACACACACACACACACATACACATGCACGCACGCACGCACTCCAGATTGGAAACATGATTCAAGTGTAGTTTGCTAGCCAGACAGCAAGCTGAGAAAGCATGAAGCCCTGAGTTCAAATCCTGGTTCTACTTGGGATCACAGGATCAAATGAAGTGTCTTAATAATTTTATTTTCATGTTCATTAGACGAATGGATTGTTAATTCTTGAAATTTCCTGTCTTAAACCTATCCGGACACATGTAGCTTGAACATGCATAGCCTGCTGTTGCTAGGGAGTATGAAATGTACTGGGAGAGGGAGATGCTTCATTTTTAGTTGGAAGTTCAGTAAATCCTCTTAAGATATTTTAAATGTTTGAGCCCAGATGGTAATATGTGTATGTGTATATGTGTGTGTATGTGGTGTTAGGAAATGGAGTGCAATGCTTGCTAGCATTCTAGGCAAGTACTCTACTACCCAGGATCCCCAGCACTTTTTGTGTGTGTGTTTTTTGTGTTTTTGTTTGTTTTTAGAACTCAGAATTCTTCTGCCTTTGCCTCTCAAGTGCTGAGATTACAGTGTGTACTGTAAAATGGATAGGCAGTAAATAATGATGAATGACAGGACAATAAAATTACTAAAATAAATACATGGGCACATTGGATCAAGCTGTTTCAATATTTTATGTGCCAAAAAAGAGAAGAAGGAGGAAGGCATGAAGAAGAAGGGAAGGAAAGGGGGAAGGAAGGGAGGGGGAGGAAGAAGAGTCTCTTGGAAGAGTCTCACAAGGTTCTGCCTTTGGAAGTCACCAGCCGATGAGAGGGTGGGGAGGGGTCTTTGTGGTTAGGGTTTCTTGTGAATGCTGTGGAGTGGTAAAATCTTATGGCCGCAAGGAGGACACTAATGTTTTCAGTCGTCCAATGCTTTAAGAGCCTCTGTGATACAATGGAAATGCTCACTCACTGAGGTTCTCTGTTCAAACATGGATTTTTGTTGTTTTTTGTTGAGACAAGCTCTCATCATGTAATCCAGGGTTGTCTAGAATTTTAATCCTCCTGCTATAGCCTCCTGATTGCTGGGATTACAGGCATGTTGAACCATGCCTGACTTTCAAGGATGATCTGTGCATCTTAAAATATTACTCTACATTTATGCAATTTGGGTAGGCAAGAATAAAGTTCTAGCTTATCATCTTTTTAATGATATATCTAGTTCTGGCTCTATGTGGTTTCCCTGATGCCTGGGAGAAAGGATTGAAGAAGAAATGGAATGGGAGTGGGGCTGTGGCTACTCACAGGCACTCATTTACAGGTGGCTCTTTGTTCTGTCAAAACAGATTTATTTACTTTTAGGTCCTGTGTGCCATTCACATTTGCAGTAAGCCTTTTAGTTACAAACTGTCATTTATTGTAAGAGCTAAGGAAAAAAATCAATTCTGCCTCCCTTCCTTCCTTCCTTCCCTCCCTCCCTCCCTCCCTCCCTCCCTCCTTCCCTCCAAACTCAAGGCGTTGTACAAAGAACTCTAACTCTACCACTAAGCCACATCTCAGTTGTATTTCCTTTGTTGTTGGTGGTGGTGGTTGTGGGGCTTGAACAGAGCCTCAGCACTGTCCTTGAGCACTCCCACTTTGAGCCATGGCTCCAATTGTAGTATGAGTGGTTAATTAGAGATACAAGTCTCATGGGGACTTTTCTGTCCAGGCTGGCTTTGAACTCAGCCTCCTGAGCCACAGGCCACCCAGCCCAACTGTCTTCTTTTACTTTAAAAAAAAATTTTTTTGTTTTAGCCTTTTTTTTAAAAACTACATTGTATAAATTAAGTGAATAAAAAATTTAAAAATCTAATTTTAGCACATCTCTTGTAGTCTTCTTTAGTCATGGCAGAAGTTTTACTTTTTTTTTTTCTGTAATTTCTATAGGACTTTAGAATTATAAAAGATCCTCTTCAGTCTCTTCATTGAAATGCATTTGTCTAGATACAACGTTTTATTGGAAGGTTTTAGACTTTGTCTCTTTGTGTTTAAAACGGCTTAAAATGTAAAAAGTTAGCTTCTATTTTGAAAGAAGACCAAACGTAGAAGCTTTGTGCCTGCTTCCCTGGTAGAGATAAGACCGGTGCATAGTTTTGAGCTGACTGAAAATTCTTTCTGTCCAGCTTTTCTCTGAAGAGGAAGACTCTGAGGCGGACCACTCTGTCCATGCTGATCCGCCAGTTTAATGTTTATCTGTTAGTTAGGCCTTGTGACCTGCTAAAGAGAACATCATGGCAGCCTTTTCTACCCAGGAATGCGGGCCAGCTAATCCTGGTGCTGTTTAGATAAGCCCTTTGCTCTGAGAGCTGGAGCAGGCAGAAGGCATTGTGAGCTTGAGCTTCAGCAGGAGTGTGGCGGGGAGGTCATGGAGCCAGGCTCTGTGATTTAAGGGACTTGGGTTTTTGGGGTCAGAGTCCAGGTCTTGTCTTCTGTAGGCTCAGGGATGTAGAGGCCAGCTGCCATTCTGCATCCTATTCAGCAGAGTCAGGCCCCATTGGAAGATAAACTGTCAGATAAACTGAGTAAGGCACACACTGCTTCCTTTTATTGTTGTGGGCTTTATGCCCTGAGTACATAAAAGACAAAAACCACAGTGAACCCATCTTTACAACCAAATAGCACTGATTCTTATACCTCTGGCATTTGGTGTCTCGTGAGTTTTAGGTTGCTGTTTTGTCTATTATGCTAATAGTAATAAATAGCTACACAATTAGGTACCTTCTGTGGAGGGTTCACAAATCTGGGTGCTGTTAGTAAGAAGGGATGCATTCAGATAGGAGCTGGGGAGATGAAAATTACCCCCACCCATCAGCAGAATCCTGCAGAATCACAAGTGTTCGGAATCTGGGAAAGGGAGAGAGAAAGTTTTGCTGCTAACTGAGGATCTTAGAAATTGGGTCATGTTGGTAAGCCATGGTATACTAGCCCATTAAAACATTGCTGCAAATCAGAAGAGAAAACAGTCCAGAAATGGTCTGTTGGAGAGAGGACTCAGTGCAGGCCAGGAGAGGAAGAGTACCACGACTAATTTGATTTGAGTGTGGGGATCTGTCTTTAGAACATTTTTAAATGGCATAGGTATATAAAGTTTAAAGAACTATTTGGAACTAGAAACACAAGACAATTACCAAAATTCTCTTTTATCTCTTAGCTTTTTTTGTTTGTTTTGGCTTAGCTTTTCTTCTTTGCTAATTAGGAACTATTCCTAAATGATTTTACAAAAATCCTGTTGAAATGTCTGTAAAGTATTAAGACCATCTACATGTGCTTTCTTTCTACGGTGTGACTTGTGATAGTTATTTCTTTTCTTTTTGTAATGCAGTCTATGCATGGAACATTGAAAAGTATTCAAGGGCCTCCCAACTTGGGTATACACTTGCCTTTGAGCATTAAGCCTGCATCTCAAAATTCATCAAACCACAGCAAAGAGGACACCAAGTCCATGAATGGGAAAGAGAAATTGGAAAAGAAGTCACCGTCTCCTGCAAAAAAGTCCGTGGAATCCAAGAAGTCGACCATTCTTGGGTGGACTTGTTGGGAGTGTGACCGCCTGTTCACGCAGAGGGAAGTGTACATCTCCCACATGAGGAAGGAGCACGGGAAGGTCAGTAAGAGACAGAGCCACGCAGGGAGTACAAGAGTGCCGGCGGCACTGACCACCTTCCAAGACCTGGTTCTTGGCTTGGCTCTGAGGGTGATTAGTAATAGTGCCAGCTCAGAAATCCCTCTGTCCCTTTGCCTCTGTGCCTCAGTTTATCGGACACTCCCAAGCCCTCCCACTACTGTTGTGTGACTTCCCCCAGCAGCCTTCACAGCGTAGGGGTAAGTTGGCCCACCACGTGGGTGTTTAGAGCTGAGCCAATGGAGAGCAAGATTCATGCAGCTCAGTACATTGTATAAATAAGTACTGTTAGGTAAGTAACTGCTGAGCAGGTCTGTGCATCTGAATGGCATCCTGGGATGGGAAAAGAAGGAGGGCCTGGTGGCCCACCCACCAAGAACCTCTGGTAGCTTTCGTTCCACTTGCTTACCTAATCTTCCTTGAGTTTGTAGAGTGAGAAGAGGAGCCCAATCCTTCAACTCCCAGGAGTTCTGCAACTCGAAATCATGAAAACTCAGTCACAATGTGTATATTCTTTCTCTTTTTTTTTTTTTATTAAACACACACACACACACACACACAGAGAAATAAGTGCATTGCCAGGTGCCGGTGGCTCATGCCTGTATTCCTAGCTACGACTTAAGAGGTTGAGTACTGTCTGATACCATGTTTAGGTGTAATCTTAGGTTGTGTTTGCATTTTTGTTTATGTAGTTGGGAATCCAGGAGTCCATATTCTATATGGTTTTATAATTTAAATCATCTCCCTTCTGCCCTCCCCGCGGCCCCCCCTTTTCCCCACAATAGTGTTCCCTCCATTTTAAGTTTTAATATGCTGTTGATTTGTTGTTGAGTTGTTTGGTCTATGGATTAATCCTCAAATTACTAGGTTTTGATAATTGCTTGTTTTTTGACATTGTTTCTTGTTCCTCTTTATCCCCTAATTTGTAAATTTTGGTTATTCAATTTGATGATTTCAGATGGGTATACATCAGAGGGACATAATTGGTCATGAAGAACCTAATGCCAGCTTATTTCACTCTGAGCCATATACTGAGGTGGATTAATAAATTCAGCGGTTTGATACTTTTAAAGAGAACCATCTTACTGCTTCATCCTTTAATCTCGCTTTGTCTTTTAGCAACCTGTGTAAAGTGTACATAGGAATTGGCTTATAATGAGTATATACTGGCTCTTTCTTTAAAACTTATTTTTAAATTAGCATGCATTTGTCATCTGAGGGGGTTTTACTATGATGTTTTCATATACTTGCCGGTTCCCTGTCCTCTGTACTTCTAATCATTTTCTCCCTACCTTCCTCCTTTTTCAAACAGTATTTGGCAGGTTTCATGATTCTGTCTTCATGTATATTGAACTGGAGCTTTGAAAAGTTTATTTTATGAAGTGTTCGTCGTAATGATGAATCTCATTTACTGAATGACTCGTATTACCTCATGCACATCTAAATGGTATAAACTTGTCTTTGCACAGCCGTCACAATGATCACAAATTAAATAGAGATTTGTTTTTGTTGCGTTTTGTGTATTTGCAGTATGTTTATATAATGTCATTTGGCTTGAGTGGCATGTCGCTTATTGTTGTGATTTGGGTTTTATTGTAAGTACTGGGCAGTTCTTAGGAAGCATTGTCTTTTCAATCCACTGTATTAGTTCTTTTAGACAATCATTTCAGAACTGTACATCAGCAGAAACTAGGATGTTGATTCTAGAATCTTTTTTACTTCATACCAAACTGGGTTTCATAAATGTTAAAAGTAGGCAACTTTAGTTATCACGTAGTCTAATTCTTTTTTTCTCTTCCTTTTTAAATACTCATTTACTATATATGTATGCTGGGGATTGAACCTAAAGCCCTGGGTATGCCACTTGAGCCACAGACCCGTCTCTGACATCCTGCTTTCTGAAGTGCAGAATACCAGATTACATTGGAGCTTTACATTGTGTTCACTCAGTCTTCTGAAGGAATTGAGGGACTGTGGAAGAAGGAAGGAAAGAAGACCTGGCATTACAAATTAGTAAAATGAAAGAGTGTTGAGGGCCAGTTAGAAACCAGTGTTGCCATCAGACTGGAGCCTTCAACTTTCCATCATCCTGCTTACAGGACACTTGTGTTTATTTTGATTATTTTGTCAGAATACTCTTGCTTTAAAGCCCACACTTTGAATTATTGCACCTATGTTCTCTTCTTCAGGTCCCAGTGTAGCAGGGCACTCTCTCCATGCTTCCTGCCGACATACTCCCAAGTTGCACCTATGAGTTGATTTACACCTCACTGCCCTCGGCAGCTCGGTTAGCTCACCTGTTTGTTGAATTCATTGGATGTGCTTTGAGCTTTGCTTGGATCAACCCCCTGCTGTGTTTCATGATTGGTGGTTCTTTCCAAAAAGCACTTTGTGTCCTTGTTGTTGAACTTCCCCTGGTTGTCTAGAAAACCCATCAGGTTTCTTAAATGTTTTCTAAAACCTTTAAAAAAATTTTTTTTAACTTATTTTAAGTAGTTGTACAAAGGAGTTTGAGTGCAGCAAGACAGATATGAGTACAACGCGTCTGGATCAATGTCATCCCCTTCCATCGATCACCCCATCTTTCCCAGTCCCATTCTAAAAACATTGTAACTCTCTTTCTGGAAAATGGAACCACTCACAGAGCGTCACTTCTCATATCTATGCTGATAGCACCCTAATCTGTGTCGTAAACTGTGTTTTCTTTTTCTTTTTTTTTTTTTTTTTTGGTCGGTCGTGGGGCTTGAACTCTGGTCCCGGGCGCTGTCCCTCAGCTCTTCAGCTCAAGGCGAGTGCTCTACCCCTTGAGCTACAGCACCACTTCCGGTTTTCTGGTGGTTTATTGGAGATAGGAGTCTCACAGTCTCTCCTGCCCGGGCTGGCTTTGACCCACGATCCTCAGATCTCAGCCTCCTGAGTAGCTAGGATTACAGGCGTGAGCCACCAGCGCCCGGCATAAACTGTGTTTTCTTCCTGAATTTTCGTCTCCAGAGTTTAACCATTGTTAATCTACCGTGTTCCTCTATTCTACCCTAGTGCATGGTGCCCTGCTTGACTCGGGGATTTTATGCCTGTCCCAGTTCCCAAACCCTAACCATCACCAAACACCACTAGCCAGTCATTTCTCTTTTTGCCTTTGCCTAGACAGCATCAGTTCTTGCCTGGATTGTTATTCTCGCTGCAGGCCTGGAGCATTTTCTGAAGGACAGATCTGATTGGATCACTCTTAGAAAGTGTTACGTTCCCATCACCTTCAACACAGTGAAGTGTAGGTTTGGTGATGTAAATAGTTTTCTACTCATTTGTTTATTTATTTTTATTGACTGGTCCTGGAGTGTGAACTCAGCTGGGCTCTGTCCCTGAGCTTTTATGATGAAGGCCTAGTACTCTATCACTTGAGCAGCTTCACTTTTGGGGTGTGTGTGTGTGTGTGTGTGTGTGTGTGTTTGTGTGTGTGTGTTTGTGATTGGAGATAAGAGTCTCATGGACTTTCTTGCCTGGACTGAGGTGTGTGTGTGTGTGTGTGTGATTGGAGATAAGAGTCTCATGGACTTTCTTGCCTGGACTGAGGGGTGTGTGTGTGTGTGTGTGTGTGTGTGTGTGTGTGTGTGTGTGTGTGTGTGTGTGTGTGTGTGTGTGTGTGTGTGTGTGTGTGTGTGTGTGTGTGTGTGTGTGTGTGTGTGTGTGTGTGTGTGTGTGTGTGATTGGAGATAAGAGTCTCATGGACTTTCTTGCCTGGACTGACTTCACACTGCAACCCTCAGATCTCAGCTTCCTGAGCAGCTTGGCTTGTTGGTGTCACTAATTCACTTGGTGATCTCATCCAAGCTATTAGCTCTTCCTAGAGAGGTGTCTACACACAATTTCAGTTGGGTTATACGCCTCTTGGTATTCTGGTCTTTCAACGAACCTCAAAGTAAGATTCTTTGAGTAAGATGGAATCTGAGTTCATTTTTATAGATAAAAGCACCTGTAATGCTGTGACTTAATAGTAAAGTAAAAAGTAAAAGTCATCTATACTTGTGCATAAACAAGTTAAAAACTGCAGTGTGATCTGTGGTAATAGATGAGCCTTTCTATTTACTGCCGGCTACCCCCCCCCCCCCCCCCAAACTCATGAAGGAACTGTGACTCAGCTTGTTCATGGGAAGACCGTAGAACAGAGTGGCATGTTCAAAACTATAGAGCTTGGCTCCATCTACATGAATCTTAAATCCTTTTGTGAAGTGGCTAAGTTCTGTCTGTAATGTGGGAGAAACCTGGGATTTTGGAATTTGACAGAGTTTTCTTTGAAATTGATCATCAGCACAGTAGTGTGACTTTGTAAGATTATAACCATCCAGCTTCTTTTTCTGTTATCTAGAACAGAAGTAATAGTGTTCACCACAGAAGGCCCTCTTGAAGACTAAATAACATGAAACCATGTATGTATCTCCTGTGGTACTGCATATAGTAGCTATTTTCTCTCCATATTTCCTCTCAATGTTAGATTTTTAAAAATGATTTTTTAAATGTGATTTTAGATAAATCTTATTATCTTCACAAATCTTGTTTTTCTTTTTTTCTTAAACTGCAACAGAGCATGTTGGACTCAGCAAAACTTTTGGCAGGTGTAGCAAGGTGTTGGATGGGGCGTTGACTTTATAGCTGACTCGTCGCTCAATTGCTGTGCTGGACAGAAAGCTTCTACTTTGGATCAGGTTTTTCCTGACATTGTAGGGACAGAAGCTGTAGGCATTTAAAGTAGATCTTACATAAATGCAGGGCTTTTCACTTACATATGTAGGTATGACATGAGGTAGATATGGCTTTGTTATGTGAATATATGTCTTTGTGTGTTAATTACCTTTCTTTTTTGTGGGTTATAAGATAGCTGCCTATCTGGGAAGCCAGTACCTCTTTGTGATGTGGCACCATCATCTAGTTCATGGTTCTCAGATCTTGATTGTGTATCAGATTCCTCTGGAGCTTGTTGGACTCCC